GCAAGGGGGGATGAGGAGGGGGGGAAGAAGAGAAGCAGCATCTCATTTTCGGCAGCCCGGCGGATCTTGGGCACAAGGCCCGAACGTACCCCACACGAGTCACCCAACCACGAGGAACACCTAACGAACTCGGCCAGGGCGGGGCCTGTCTCGCGCGAACGAGCCGCGAGGGGGCCGCAAGGGGGCCGCGAGCTGACAGCGAGGCGGACAGAGAGGAGCCGCGGGGGAGTTCCGAGGGCGCCGAGAGGTGGACGCCTCCGGGACTGCCGGCGCGGCCCGCGAGCGGGGGCCGCGACGAGGCCCGCCGCAGGGGCCGCGAGCACTCGCGATCGGGCTACGAAGGGGGCCCCCCTGGGCGGCCACAGGGGGGTCCGCGAGGGGGCCGCCGAGCGGGGCCTATGCACGCCTTGGCGATGCAGTGCGCGCGCACGGTAAGAAGTCCGGCCGTGAGAGATCTTGTGATGGATGCACTCTGCGTCGACCTCTGGAGGCCCTGAGGTGCCGCAGGGTGTCTGTAGGTCCCCAGGGCCATCGGGGGACGAGACATCTCCGCGGGGCGCCTGGTGGCAGTGCCAGGCCGCTTTCTTATTCGCCGTGCTGCGACGGCAGCCACGGCGACACGCCACGCCATGCGAGCGGATCGCGCGCCGCTCCGCTCCGCAGGGCGGGGGGCTCGACACGGCTCGGGACGCTGACGCCGGGGAAGCGTGCCGCGCCGAAGCGTGCCGCGCCGAAGCGTGGTGGCGGCGCGACACGCCGGGCCAAAAAAAATCCCGACGGCGCTGGGCGCCCACCGGCTCTCGGAGGTGTCCAGCGCCGGCTGCTGGGAGGCCTTTCGGGGAGCAGCGGATGCGCCGCGCGCGGCGCGGCGGAGCGCGCTGGCGGGCTCAGTGTGGCGCGTTCGCCGTGGCGCGGCCCTCACGAAGCGTTCGCGGAGCACGCGCGTGGCGCGCGCATGCGGCGCGCGCGCGCCACGCGGCTGCTCGCGGGGCTAACGCCTTTTCAAGTCAGGCGCTTGATGTGTTCGCGTGGCTTTCGTGAGCACCGTCGGTGGTCACGAGCATATTGGATTCGGAGAGTATGGGCGCTGAAATCAGCTTCCACGCGTGAAATGGCGCTCTGGGGTTCAGTCCTGATGGATCCGCCGTTCTGCATACTCTGTGTGCTTCCATCTGTCAGGGAAGATGCAGTACCTGAGCCGAGCCCTCCCTGTGCTGGACTAGATTGTTGGGGGCGTGGTGTGCAAACATCGTACTCACAAGGGGGTGCTACTTTTGTACACCACCACCACCACCAATCCACTGTCAAAAAATAATGCCCGGGGAGGTGGATGGGGCCACGTGTATAGTCGCCCGTATGCTCGATGTCTGCCGCGCTCGCTCGTTCACGAGATGCATATATGAATGCATGCTTGTGTATATGAGCACACAGACAGGCTTGATTCTCTGTGCCCATCACCAAACTACATGCTGGCGAAGGTGTATACGCTGACGCGTGTGCACGTGGATGCGAATACAAAATGGGAAAGGAAGAGAGAAGATATACGCCATGATTAGTTCATTTCGTCGGGGAAGCAAGAAGGCGACGCCGAACAAACACACACACACACACATACACACACACACACACACACACGTCCCGATGTTACGCGCGAAGGGGCGATGACCATGGGGCCGCGACCGAGGAGTCTTCACTGTGAGGAGGTGAATATCTTGTCCGCCTGAGACACCGCCTGGAGGATGCAGGCAGGGAGTGGTCAAAGGTGGTGGTGGTGCATACGTAGTTTCTCAAACGCTCTGGCTGGAGATCCTGCATCCCGCAGATCCTGCACCCTGCATCTCGCATATCATCTTTCTCGGGCGGCCAAGCGATCTCCTCCACCTTCTGCAATTATTCGTCTGCTGCTTCCTCCTCGTGTACCCTGCCCTGGTGCTCCTCGTCCTCTGACTGCTCCTCCTGCTCCCCGTCGAACGCCGTCTCCTTCTTCCGCATAATGTGACAACTGCACCTCACTCTTCATACCAGCCTCCCGTTTCACGCCTCCCGCTCCCCCTCGTTGTCATCACCACCACCAAAAACTGATCAGCGTGTTCCCTCATCCACCCTCATCCTTCCCCTTCCTACTTCCCTCCAGCTCCTCCTCCTCCTCCTCTTTCCTCCTTGCCTCTCTCTCCTATGCCGTCCTGCCTCATCCTTCTCCAGCTCTCCCAGACTCTCTCTCGCTTCTCTGTCCTTGTTCCCCCTCCCTCCTCGCTCAGCCCCCTCCCTCCTCTGCTGGCCAGACCGATAAGTCTTGCACCTCAGGACGCCATCGCTGCCTCGCAGCGTGGGCCCCCAACCAGGACGCCTCGACCCCGCCCTCTGGTCCGGTTTGCGCTAGGGCCCGCATGTCCAGCACAATACGGTGAGGGTCTTGACCTAAGGAACCCTAAATAAGGAACGAGGCCCCTATTTTCCATAAGTTAAACTTCGATTTCCCATCGAAAACCTAAGGGAAACCTGAGGCAAGCTGCGAAACACTTAAGGAACGCGGAGCCCCTCCCCAACTAAGAGGGTTCCTTCTTCAGGGCCCCGACTGTACTGTCCCTCTGCTCTTTATGTGCCCGGGTTCGCGCTCTGGTAGCATGTCCTGTGCTGTCCTCCCCCATACCCGGGCATTCTCCCGCGCCGCGGTCAGATCGCGCCTGGCGAATTGGAGGGCGGGGGGCCAAGCAGCAGGGGCAGGCGGCGAGAGGAACCCTGATCCCCCCGGATTGTTCAGAGCTGACACAAGGACCTCGACATCCAGATTGCAGTCGAGGTTTAAGCAGCCAAGATAGGTTCACAGGTCTGGAGGGCTGCTTGATAGCACTCTGGAAGGTCAGGGAAAGATGGCCCGTCCAGCAGGGTTTGGGCGTCATGCGCCCGTCTGGGGACCCCCGGGCGAGGAAGGCCCGGCCTCCACGGCTGGAGCGTACCCCGGTCAGGCAGGCGCGCCCCGAGATGTGCGGGCTCCTGGGCCGGTGCGGGCGTAGCTCCTGCTGTCGGTTCCTGGTTAGCAGCACGGGCCTGCAGGGGGCTTAGAGATGGACTTTCCCAAATCATATGGTTATGTAGATCACCGTGTAGCCGCGGCAGCACCTGAAGCCAAACGTGCACCTTCTGCTCTTGTGAGTATCTGTTCGCATGCTCGGGAAAGGGCCAAGGGTGTGTTGTGTTCCAAATGAACTGGCTCCCCCTCGCGGCAAAGCGGGGCCTGCCACACGGTGGTTCGTGCGCCCCACGAGCGATGGTAGCAACGCTTGTTCTGTGGGAAGCCGACCCCGCTCAAGGGTGGGCAGACATGGATGATCGTTCTCTGACTGCAGATGGGGAATATGCAGATGCTGAGCTAGAGGATGGCTTGACAAAAGCTTTCCTGAGGCTGCCGTTGTTCGGGAACGCCTTGCCTCGGCTACACTGAGGCCGCTCTGGCTATGGCCTACGCCGCTTGTGGAACGAGTGCCTCGCTGGGCCCCAGGAGCGCTCCTTCAAGCTATCCTTAGGACTGGGAGCACGTGGTGGTGTGCTGGGGGATGGTGGGTTCAATGTGTGCAGCTCCACCCTGTGTTCTCCCCCGTGTTTACAAAGCATGAAGACGGTGGTGTCCGAGAAGCTCGTCCCGAGCGAGTTCCTAAGCATGGCCCGCCAGGCCCACTTTGAGAAGATTGGCCCCGAGTACCTACAGCATAACGCTAAATGGGGTATACCTATTAGAATCCATGGTGATCAGTGATCATCCTGGAGATCGGCGGGTTAACGACAGGGAGACGCGTTCTGGACTGATGCTCCTGGAGAAGCCCACGCTGTTGGTGCCGTCGCTTGCGTTCGCTCTCTAGAAGCCGTGCGCCGAAGTCGTTTCGATTCTGAAGGAATTGATCATGTTGACGTTGAGTTGGATAGCTCTGCAGTTGATCGTAAGTTCGAGAAGGGGTTGTCCACGGAGGAGGGGCTGCTGCTGTCTATCTCTCGGGGAGGAGCCTGCCAGACCCACACGCATCTTCGGAACAACCAGTGTTACAAATGGTGCAGCTGCCCGCTGCCCAGTACCCGCCACCTAAGAAGAGGAGGAGGAGGAGGAGGATTGCGGCAGAGCTGACCTTTGATTTCTCGTTCTGTGCCAGTGCGCCCAGTGTCACTAGCAAGAGTGGTTGGGTGGTCAATGCCGTCTCGCCTACCTTTGATGTTCGCTCGCGTATGCTTGTCGGAGCCTGTCGGCTGGGACTCGATTTCGCGCTCGAGACCTTCAAGCCTGAGGAGCGAGCTGCGGGAACTGGCTAGATTCTTGTTCGAGATTATACTCCGGTGGTCACGTGTTTCACACACTACCATTCCTGATGTGGTCTCCTGTTCATCCTCTTCTTTCCCCCCCCTCTGCGTCCCCCCTGCTCCTCCTCATCACTGGCACTACCACTATCATCAACATCATCGCCATCACCGTCATCGCCATCACCAACATCATAACACCAGTCATCCTCACAACACCACAATCACCATCACCTGCATCAACCGAGCATTTTCTCTGGGTGGAGGGCAAAGGGCGAAATTTGAGATGCCGTTTCGATGGATTCTCGATGTCTGATTATCTCAGTCGCCGTCGCGCTCGAATCTCATCATGCTCCCCTCGGGGACGGACAGACCCCCATTTTGTAACACGTGGTTTCGTGAAAACGACCTGAGGCCCAAACCTGGCGGGCGCAAGCGTGGAAAATAGCGGCCACGGCGCCAACTCGAGAGCCGAAAACGGACAATTCACCAATCGACGTGTCACTGTTGGGGGTTCTGTCCACCCCCGACTCGAATATCATCATGCTCCCCGTCATCATGCAGGGCGAATCACAAGACGGATGGAATCTCGAGGTGCAGAAACCCATATGGATTTCGCAGTCATCAACATCTCAGTCGCCGTCACCCTCGAATCTCATCATGCTCCCCGTCGCCACCCTCCCTCCCCTCCTGCCTCCCACCCCGCGCCGCGCCGCCTGCGCCGCGCGCTCGGCGGCGGCGGCCGCCTCGGCCTCCGCCCTCGCCTTCGCCTGGACGACGACGACGACGACGACGACGACGACACCAACGACGACGACAACAACAACGACGACGACGACGACGACGACGACGGCGATAGCAACGACGACGGCGGCTGCGCCGACGTCGACGGCGACGGCGACGACGCTGGGCAGCTGCCTCCGCCTTGGCCTTTGCCTCGGCCTCGGCCTTCGCCTGGGCTTCCGCCTCTGCGCTCTCCGCGGCCTCGGCCCTGGCTTTCTCCTCGGCCTCGGCCTTGGCCTTGGCCTCGGCCTCCGCCTTCGCCTGTGCTGCCTCCCTGGCTCTCTCCTGGGCCCTGGCCTTGGCCTCGGCCGCATCCTGCCCCGCGGGCCAGGCAACGAGCAGGACCGCCAAGACGGGGACGGAGAGAGTGGCGAGGAGGGCAGGGAGAGACCGGGGAGGAAGGACGGAGGATCACAGGGATGGGAGCAGGCAGCACGAGGAGGCCACGAGGAAGCGAGGAGGAGGAGAAGGAGCGAGGAGCAGAACGGAAAAGAAGCGAGGAATGGGGGAGCACCGATGATGGGGGAGAGAGAGAGAGAGAGAGAGAGAGAGCAACAGATGGAGGATCGTGCAAGGAGGGAGGAAGGGGGGAGAGAGGAGGAAAGACGTGCAGGACGGGGAACCGGGTCTGGGACCACAGGGGCGGGAGACCAAAACGGAACGGGCGAGCGGCGGCCCGAGCCCAGCGGACACACGCAATGCGTAACGAGCCAGGTTAGAATCCGGCTCAGCGCAAGCACGCTGCTGCCGCGCCGACGTCCTCCTCCACCTCCTCCTCCTCCTCCACCTCCTCCCCCATCCTCCTCCTCCCTCCTCCTCTCTCCTCCTCCTCCCCTTCTCCTCCTCCCTCCTCCTCCCTCCTCCTCCTCCTCCTCCTCCTCCTCCTCCTCTCCTCCTCCTCCTCCGCCTCCTCCTCCGCCTCCTCCTCCTCCTCCGCCTCCTCCGCCTCCTCCTCCTCCTCCTCCTCCTCCTCCTCCGACGTCCCAAGGCTCCTGCCGCGCGCACGCTGCCGAGCGAGCCTTCAACGCTGCCAGCTCCCTTTTGCTCCAGGGCGCACATGCCCCCCGTGACCCCGCTCCCCCGTCCCTCCTCCTGCCTCCCCCCCCGATCCCTCTGCCCATCCCTCCGCCCATTGCCTCCCTGCACAAGTACACACTACGAATACTACTCTCTTCTCGCCCCTGACTGCCTCCCGAAGCTGTCCCGCCTTCTCCGCGTACTGCTCTTTTCCAAATGATTGGACCCAGGTGATTTTTCTTACAAGTTGTTTACCAGCCTCGAACGTATCCCTATCCCTAAGATTGACACGCCAAAAGGCGATGACAAGTTTAGGGATCCGCCCTCAAAAAATAAGGGGATCCCTAAGATTGGCCTCGTGATGAGGAGGTGCCCAGCATATGGATAGGGATATGTTCCAGGCTGGTAAGTTGTTCCAATTCGACTGTCGTCGGTGTTTTGAAGTGGTGTTGCCGCTGCAGGGTGGACCTCACTTTCGGATCGGCGCAGTGCTCCCGACGTTCAGGGCGGTGCTCTCGTCCCAGCGCGGGGGCCACACTCTGGACCCGAGTCCTTCCTCATCGTTGTCGTCCCCTCTCCGTTCCCCTCCTCCGCCTTTCCCTGGTCCTCCTGCTCATCCTGCTCCTTCCACTCCAGTCCCCGCTGCTGCTGTTCGTCCTCGTCTTCGTTTTCGTCCTCGCCCTCGTCCTTATCCTCCTCCTCCTCCTCCTCCTCCTCCTCCTCCTCCTCCTCCTCCTTTTCCTCACGCTCAGCCCCCCCTCTCCAACTGCGCATAACACGATGGGTCATCTTGGGAGTTCCAGGTCCGCTATGAGCTATGACACGCGTCCGCGGCTGGAGAAGAAATCAGCGCAGTGGGAAGGGATGAGTGAGAGGGGTGACATGTCAGATTACAGCCAAGACGCTGAAATAAGGAACGCCTCGGTTGCGGGAGGGGCTCGCTGTTCCTTAAGCTCTTCCATGGCTCCTCCTCCATCACTCCTCGTGCACCTCGGCGCTTCTGGGGGCCAAGAAGGGGCTTCGTCCCTTATGTAGCGTTCCTTCTGATAGTACCTCGACTGTAGGGCGAGAGCGCACCCAGCTCGCCACCTGCCCCTCTCCCCGCCTCTGTCCCCCAATTTCCCCCCCGCCCTCCCCATCCGCCCGCTCCTGCCCCTCCCCCCTTCGCCCCTGCCCCGCGCCCCCCCTCCCTCCCGCTCCACCCCCCCCCTCTCGCCCCTGCCCCTGCCCCCTGCCCCTCTCGCCCCTCCCTCTCGCCCCTCCCTCTCGCCCCTCCCTCTCGCCCCTGCCCCCGCGCCCCTCCGCGGGGACGTGCGCTGACTTCAAGGCGGAGCCGAGACGGGGGCAAAGGCGGACCGGGACAGGCCCTCCTTCCCCCCCCCCTCCGCTTAACTCGGGCCTGTCCCTCTACAGGGGCATTTTCGACGACAAATCAAAAATATCCCCCGAAATAATCCAAAAATGATCCAAACATAGTCTGGGGACTATTTTTGGGGTACTGTTTGACCTGTTTGGGGCATTCTTAGGGGTATTTCTAATTTGTCGTCGAACATCCCCCTGTAGGGGGACACGCCCGACATAACCCTCCGCCCCCCCCCCCCCGCCCCTGCGCCCTGCGCCTCCCCGCTCGCCCTTCCCCGGGCGGAGGCGGCCCTCCTGCAGGCGCCACGCCTCCGGCGCCCGGGGCGCCCGCGCCCTCATCTCCGCGAGCGCCGCCGCCAGCTTCGCCTCCGGGTCGGCCTGCAGGCCGCGCAGGGGCCAGGGCGGGGGGGAAGGGTTGGGAGACAGCTCCTCGGAGGCCTGACGAACCAACAACACACACACACACAGACACACACACACACCCATACCCATAGGGGGTCGGAGAGGGCTATGGGTGCGTGCTGTCGGATGGGGGTCCCCGCTCGAACGGGAGCGCTCCCCAAGGTCCAACAACCCGCACCCATACCCATAGCCAGTCCTCCTCTCAACGAACCCCCTATGGGTATGGGTGTGTGTGTGTGTTGCTCGTTCGTCAAAGTCTTCGTGGCATCAGCTGAGAGCGATCACGCCCGACTCAGAGGGCCACTAGCTCAGTCGGATGAGGCCAGATTGGCGGGGGACTGGGCCGGATCGAGCGGGGTGGTGCCAGATTAGGACGGGGTTCCGACCAGGGACATGCTAGCGCCGATCCCGGATCAAACCTCGAAGGGGAGGTGGCATTCCAGAGGACAGGTGAAGGCAAGGGCGGGAAGCGACACAGGCGGCTGGATCGCGTGCGACTGTCGAATATCACAACGGGCGGGGCAACGCGGCCCTGTCGAGTACCTTGGGGCGGGGGGCGACACAAGCGCGACTCTGTCAACTGCCTGGGGGCGGGACCATATGGACAGACTGTGCAACCAATGGAAAAACTGAGGGCGATATTCTCCCTGCGGAGCCCCGGGAGAATACAAGAAGTCCAGCACACAAACGCAACCAAGGGCGGGGCCCTATGCACGGGACCCTGTATGTATGAAAACGGGAAACTCTGGGACACCGGTCTCGAAGGCCGCCGCGTCGCACGATTGACTTTCGAAAGGAGTGTGTGTGTGTGTGTGTGTGCGTGCGTGGTGCATGCGTGCGTGCGTGCGTGGTGCGTGCGTGCGTGCGTGTGTGTATGTGTGTGCGTGAGTGTGTGTGTGTGTGTGTCTGTGTGCGTGAGTGTATGTGTGTGCGTGTGTGTGCGCGTGTGTGTATATATGTGTTTGCGTGTGTACTTGATTCTGTTAAGCTGGCCCAGACCGCTCGGTGCTCTCCGCTTGACTTGCCATACGCCGCGCCGCCGCGCGCATTGCCGCGACGCCAAACAGCGTGTGTGTGTGTGTGTGTGGTGTGCGTGCGTGTGTCAATTTGCAACCTGTCCGCTGCAGTGGGCCCATCTAAAATGCAACTCTCCTGCCGCACGTCGCCTCCTCAAGTCTTTGTGATCCAATCCGGCTGGTGGTGTTCGGCCGCACTCCTGCATGTGCACGGCCTCCACGGCGTCTTCCACGTGTCTGCGCATTGTCGAGGTTTCCGCAAGCAACTGCCACCATCGAATCCACCAATCCGCTACGCTGGGTGGAAATTCGCCTGGCCGTGTCCTGGCTTGGCGCTTCACGATTGCGTCGTCACCTCGCCGCTGGAAGAAAAGTGTGTGTATGTCTGTGTGTTTGAGTTTGTGTGTACGTGTCGCGCGATTTGTTTCCTCTTGTGTGGCACCTCTCAAGGGGCGGGACGGCAGTGGGTGGGGTCCAGATTTGGGCGGGTGGGCGGCGGAGGGGGGTGTGGGGGGAAGCGTTTGCAAAGATGGGGCGGGCGGCGCGGTGCCATTGAGCACCAGCGAGCAGCACTGAGCAGCGATGGGCGATCAGTGAACAGCGATGCTCATCAAGTGGCAAGGAGAGAAGTAGCAATGATCAGCGATGACGCGTAATACACAGCAAGGTTCAAGATCATCGCGCAAGAGTGCGCAATCGGCGGGCAGCAGCAAGCAGCAGGTAGCAGTCGTGATCGATCAAAGCTCCGACAATGACGCTTCTCGCGCCGCTCATGTGGTCGCTCGCTGACTGATCGCTGGTGCCGACTGCTGCTCGCTGGGGCCCGCGGCTCCCCCATCGACTGCCTCCTGATTGGTTACTGATTGTCTGCTGAATGCCCACTGCTTGCCGAGTGCCTACCATTAATGCGGGATGACGATTAATAAGAAAATGGGAGAGAACGGTAAAAAAACAGATTTATGCTATTTCTGCACAATTTTCTGACTGGAGGAGAACGATAAAAAAAATAGTTGTCCAGCCCGCGGCCGGTTTTTTCTAATCGTCATCCCGGGCGCCGCCGCGTGAACACGACCCCCGGTCATTTATGAATCGCCATCCTCCATTAGTGCTTATTGCTGCTTCATGTTGACCGCTGCTCCTTACTGCTTGCCCAATCCTTTCGCACTGATTGATCACTGCTTGATCACATTGATCCTTGCACGCTCACGTCGCGACTTGCGGGGGTGGGGGGTCATCCACGGTGACCCTTTATACTGAGGCATGCCTTTTGATTCTTTCCGAGGTGGCCATGGGTTTGGCGGGGGGTGGGGCTGGCCAGCGAGTAGCGGTATGCAGCAGCGCCCAGCAGTGAACACAAATAACGAGCACTGGTGAGACGTGCGCAGCTGTGCGCCTGCGGCATGCAACCAGCCAGAACGCAATGGCGGAGCATTGGGACCCTCAGTGGACAGAATTGAGCAGCCAGTGGGCACCAATAAACAACAAGAAATTAGTCATTGGGCACCAATTCGCCGGCCCAGCGGGCCAAGGGCGCGCTGAGATCTCCAGTGACTGGTTTAGAGACCTCCTAGATGGGGTCGGAATAGATGTGGTCGGAGGGTCGCGCCACATCGGCGATACATCGGCAATGCATCGGCGATGTATCGGCGCTACATCGGCCATGCACTGGCGTCGGCGTGGAGAAACTTGGGCCCCACATCGAGCCGCATCGCCGATGCGGTGCGATCCTCCGACCCCATCTACTCGACCCCATGGGGAAGGCCTAGATGGTTAGCAATATTCTAATTCGCGGGCGCAGGGCCGCCCCTGGGGGTCCCCGGACGAAACGTACCCCGGCAAGGTCCCAGCAAGTCCTGGCAAGGTCCCGGCGAGTTCCCGGAAAGGTCCCGGGCAGGTTCCGGCCAGGTCCCAGCAGGCTCCCAAGAGCGCTCCAGGAGCGCGCTTCAAGTGGCCTGCAAGAGAGCTCGACATGACCCGAGACGGCCCAAGAGCGATCCAAGGCGCTAACGATGGGCTCCAGACAGCCCGAAGCGCCTTCAAGACGCCCCAAGAGGCCTCCAAGAGACCTCCCAAGAGGGCCCACAGAGGCAGAAATTAGTGATGCCCCTGTAGTTTTTGAAAGTTTTTGGCGTTCTCGCCTTGAGAGTTCACCGGCGCTCCAAGACGGCCCTAGAGGCTTCCAGGATCGCCCCAACACGGTCCAAGAGGCCTCCAAAAGCGCCCAAAACAATCCCAGAGGGCCCCAAGACAGCCCCAGAGGAATCTAAGATGGTCGAAGAGGCCCCCAAGACGGCTCCAAGAGCGGGCCCAGACGAGGGACCCGAACGGACATGTCGAACTCTAGGCGCAGAGAGGTCCCCTGGAGGCCCCAAGAGGCTCTCAAGAAGCTTCCAAGAGGCCCCCGAGAGGCTTCGAGAGACCCCCAAGAGGCCCCAAGAGACCACCCAAGAGGGCCCACAGGTGGAAATTAGAAATTTCCGTAGAGTTTGAAGGTTTTGGTGTTCTCGCCTTGGGAGCTTACCGGCGCTCCAAGATGGGCCAACAGGCTTCTAGGATCGCCCCAACACGGTCCAAGAGGCCTCCAAAAGCGCCCAAAACAATCCCAGAGGGCCCCAAGACAGCCCCAGAGGCTTCCAAGATGAACGAAAAGGCCCCCAAGACGGCTCCAAGAGCGGGCCCAGACGAGGGACCCGAACGGACATGTCGAGCTCTAAGCGCAGAGAGGTCCCCTGGAGGCCCTAAGAGGCCCCCAAGAAACCCCCAAGAGGCCCCCGAGAGGCCCCAAGAGACCCACGAGAGGCCCTAAGAGACCTCCCAAGAGGGCCCACAGAGGTGGAAATTAGTGATCTCCTATAGGTTTTGCAAGTTTTTGGCGTTCTCGCCTTGGGAGCTTACTGGCGCTCCAAGACGGCCCTAGAGGCTTCCAGGATCGCCCCAACATGGCCCAAGAGGCCGCCCCAAGACAGCCCCAGAGGCGCCCAAGACGGCCCAAGCCTGCCTTGGACGAGCTCTGGAGTCTGCAGCGCCAGAGAAGCTACCAGCATGAGCCCCTGAAGGTTCTGCACCCTCAGCGGTTCTCGCAAGCCCGAGGGGTGACCCAGAACACCCTGTCCTCGTATACTTGCCAACGTAGACCGGTAGATACGCCGAGAGGCACGAGGCCCTGTGAAACTACCAGATACTAACCTCCAGCAGACAGGAGCAACGAAAGTCTGGACCCTGTGGGCTGGATCCCATGTCACGACCGAGAAGTACAACGGAGGGGGGTAACTGAGGGCGGGACTCATGCAACGTTTATGTCCAATGGGCAGGGAATAAGGAAGGGCGGGGCCCTAAGGGCGGGACCTTACACAACTGACAAGCACCTGTTCCACCAGATCGAGAAAACGAAGAGCGGGACCCGATGTGCATAACACGATGCAATTATAAACCTGCTGTCTGAAACTTCGCCCGATGTCAAGAGAACGATTCTAACTGACCTCGTCAATTGTTGGCAGCCGTGGCCCCGATCCAAACAAAAACGAGTCAGCGATTGTATATGCTTGGTGATCAAATTGCCCGCTTGAGAATCGCCAATGCGAATACATTGTTTTAGCGTGATAGTCAAATGCGGACCAGAGCCTTGTTTTGAATATTGGCCAGGCTAACTGACTATGAGGGGCACCAAAATGACGGCGTGCGCAACACACATGATGGTTACGAAACACCTGAGCGTTATCATTATGCGGGCAGACATGCAACACAACGCGACACAACGCGAAGCAACTGAAGGGAACAGATGAGATACATTCGCGATAGCATATGCTTGCTATCTGAGCCAAAGCTGGCGGTCACAACCGGCCCCCCAAAGCCCCATATCATCGACATGCACCTGGAAACTATTCACCAAGCAACCGCTCGGGAAACGGGCTCGCTTGAACAAACAAGAAACGGAAGAGAAACGGCGACCGATTGTTGAAGACAACGTTGCATCCCGCCCGCCTGATAGTTCTCGCACGATGGTCATTCACTATCGCATTGCAAAATTGGCAAATGTGGAGCTGGCAGAACCGTGGGAAAAACTCGGCCATGTCAATTCCCGCGTCATGGTATCATCAACCCGTGATCGTGACGAAAAAGACCCGAAAGACCATGGACTAGGAATCCGTCGACCACTTTTTTCTCCCCAAGCCTGGCTGGAGGTACAGGCCGAGGCCGCGGTAACGCAAAAGGGCAATGACAAGGACAAAGGCAGGGACAAACGCAACAACGATGGCCACAGAAGGTCCGCATTACTGCTGACATCTCTGACCGTGGGAGGATCGATCGAGACGCATGTACGGCAACTGGAACATATAGCTCGGGACCTGTTTGATCTCGCTCGGAAGGCCAGAAAATAATGAGGTGCGGAGATCCGCGCACAATCGTAATTCAGGAATGTTTCATCTCTGGGGAAATCCGAGTGTTGCTGGAGCAGTCGGGTAGTAGATTCCTGAATGTATCAAAGCGCCTGCGATTCCGAAGTCCGTTACGCTGTGTGCCAAGACATCAGTACGTCACACTGGACGATGGTCCAATAGAACACCGTATTGGAAGGAACAGTGCACAAGCATAGGAGTGGTGCGCCCGGGCGAAGTGAAGAACGGTATAGTTCATCATCTCTGCGAGGGGGGAATCGGTGATTTCCATGGTGCTCTTCGAAAACCTGGTTGATAAAGCATCGCCAACCTTACCGTGATCGCACCTCGTCCAACTCGTGCCCGCTTAATGTTTAAATCGACGCAGAGTCCGTCAGCCGATTGGACGCGGTACTTACATATGAGCGGTTGTGCGCTTGTGGTTATTAAAGGATCAGAGGGCAGGGATGAACAAGGCCCTAGAACATGGAGTTCGTGCCAAGAGGACCACAAAGTGGACCCCTCTACGTCAGGGCTCGCAGCATCACAATCGTGTACATCGCGCGCGGCCAAGAGCTCAGGTCTTAAGAACTGTTCGTCTCTCCAAGCACATTCTGATGAGGAGCGACACATCGAGCAGTTCAAATGTAAGAAGGTTCAATACGGGGCTACCCGCTCCTTCGTAGACAGTTTACACATGCAAATGTCCCCAGCCAGTCAGCCAAACCATCCTGGTCCAGCACTCCGGTTCACCTGGTCACCCCATTTCACCAGAATGGTTGTGGTCGAAGCTATCTCAACTGCGTGCGAAGTATAAAAGCATGTGGTCACACATGTCTGGCTTCGTGGTGGAACTCAGCCAGGGGCCAGGGGAAAAGCATCATACGTCGAGACTGGAGGGCATGAAGTTGACGATACGCTCTCGATCATGTCGATCTTCTTCTGGAGCGTAACTGGCTGATTGGTTGGAGGGGATGACAGGTGGCCGAATCAGACTAAATCGCTGAGGGCTCGAGGACGCCCGAAAGTGTCGAAACGCTTCGCTGACGGGCAGGATTTGCCTCACAAATGTGCGAGCACTAGAGGGCAGCGGCCAGCAGCTTCAGGCTCGAGGGGGCTTGATCGACAAGCTCAGTGCGGGTGCCGATAACTGCCTGCCGGGCCTTTCTCCGTGCCCCGCTTGGCAGGCATCCGACCCCAGCAGCGGGTACAGAGCACAACGCATCAGCATCATCATGAATCATGAATCAGAACCATCAGTACAAGCCTCGGAACAAATTAACGAACACATGCCACATTCATCCGTCAACGCCTCCCCCTCCCCCCAATGTTCAAAGTTGGCGGTGGGTCTGATGAGATGCACTTCGACCGCAGTCTCTCCCGCGCGTGCCAACAATGAGTTTGGGGGGGAGGGGGAGTGTTCAGTAATTGTTTCCCTCTACCGTATCACCACCGCCATCAGCACACCATGAACAAATCATCATCTGCGCCTTCTGCGCCTGCGCCTTCATCTCCGCGAGCGCCGCCTCCAGCTTCGCCTCCGGGTCGGCCTGCAGCCACACAGGGGTAAAGGCGGCGCGGGAGAGAGGGGCGGGGAGTCGGGGGAGCGTTACAACAGACGGCTGCAAGCAAGGGCGGGAAGCGACGCAGGCCAGGCCCTCTGTGCCTCTGTCGAAGGTCCCGGCGCTTGGGGTCTGGACCATATGGCCGGAACAGGGCCCAATGCGGGCCCCTGAGTGCGGCACCCTCGGCAGATGCAAGACAATCCAACGAGCAAAGGATCCTGCGTGCGGAGCCCTACATAGGTATCAAAGAACAAGGTTCGAGCTCAACCGTGTTCTTCCCCATTTTCGTGTTGTTGTCGATCTCCCTCGCTCTGGTTTCGTTCCGCATGAGCTGCGAACTGGAGTCAAAACGAAAACGGTAAGCGAGATCACCCAACCTCCGTTGTGCTCGAGCCCTGCCAAGGGAAACCCAGCAGACAGACGCGACCAGGATCGGGGCCCTGTGCGCGGGACCCTGTCTATTTACCAACATATCTGGCAGACAAGCCACGAGGGGTGGGACCCTGCTGGTGGGTCCTTGTGCAGCTACCAGATGTTGACCTCCAGCAGACAGGGGGAACGAAATTGAGCCAAACAAACTTCAGAACCACAAATTTTTGGAGGTCCGCGCGGATTTCTTGGATCGGCGCTGGACCCCCTCCTTGGCGCGCGTGGAGCGCGCCTGGGGCGGCGCCCGACGCGCCAGGGAAGTGGCCCAGCGCCGATCCAAGAACTCCGCGCGGAGCTCAGAACATTGATGCTTGTGCAACTGTTGCGCGCTCGATGCGGCCTGGACCCTTTGCCAATGCAGAGAAATACAGCGGGCCAGGGGCAGCTGGGATTATGTCGGGCGTGTCCCCCTACAGGGAGATTTTCGACGAAACATAAAAAGTACCCAAAAAATACTCCCGAAAATGTCAAACAAATACTCAAAAAATAGTCCCCAGACTATTTTGGGACTATGTTTTGATTATTTGTGGTGTATTTCTTATTTGGGACTTTTGCACTTGGGCCGGCGCGCCGCTCCCTGCGCGCAGTCTGGTGTTCCCTCCCCCATCCTTCCTCCTGCTTGCCTGAGCTGTGCACTGGAGCTTGCGTTTTTCCCTCGCGCCCTTCATGGGCCCGCCCTCGTGCGAGCGGGGTGAATGCATGAAATTCTTATGTTTCGTCGAAGCTCCCCCTGTAGGGTCGGGTCGGGCGAAAGGGGGGGATAGCAAGGGGGGCCTTTGAGAATCGGCTCACGTAGCTGATTTTCCCGGCGCCTCCCGGCGCCGGAGGCGGCCATGTATCGAGGAATGGGCCCCTCGGTGAGGCCGAAACCAGCTGCATGCAGCAAATTTCGTAACCCCCCCTTTCCCAAATTCTGTGCTCGATGAATGATAACATATGTGTTTCGTATAACAACACGAACTAGGCGTCTGTGTGAAAAAAAACGCGTTTCGTCGACGATATGTTTGGCGTGGGCGAGTCAGAAGAATTGGCGTGGTCACGTTTTGAAGCAGCTGTCGCTTTCTTTGCCAACTAGCCCCCCGCGCGCCGGAATTACTGGAAGCCGGCGGTAAACCTTCAACCTTGGCTACCGCCGGAACTCCTAGAGCCCTTTTCGTCCAGCCCGGTAGGGGGCCAGGCCCGACCGAAAGCTGGGGCCCTGTGCGCTCCCCGTGTCCAGCGGGCAGGGGCTGCCGCAGGGCCGGAGGCGCGACGGGCGGGGCCCCTTTGCGGCCGCTAGGGTGCTCCCACGGACCCATGGGAACTACGCTTAGGTCGGGCTTGTCCCCCTACAGGGGGAGTTTCGACGAAAAATAAGAAATACACCAAAAATAATCAAAACATAGTCCAACAATCGTCGGGGGACGATTTTTCTAGTATTTTTTTAACCTTTTTGGAATATTCTGGGGGTATTTTTTATTTTTCGTCGAAAATCCCCCTGTAGGGGGACAGGCCCGACTTAAAACTACGCTGCGGGACGTGTGGGCAAGATGCCATACGGCGACTTCGGGCCGCGCTGACCTGCGCGTCGGCTCCTGACACCGCGGGGGGGGTCCTTCCGAGGGCGGGAGGATCGAGGACGAGGATCGAGGAGGGTCGAGGATCGAGGGGGAGGGTCGAGAAAGAAGAGGATCAAGGAAGCGGAGGATCGAGGAGGAGGAGGAGGAGGAGGAGGAGAAGGATCGCGGATATGGCGCAAATCGCTCGAGATCGGCTGGCTCCGGCCCACTGGCGGTGGGCAACCTTGAACACCCGCGCCGGGGCCGCCGCCGCGTCGACACGACGCGAACCTACCGTATGCAACTACAGCAAACATCCAAGGTGAAGCCAGGCAAGATCGCCTCTGTGCAAACACTGCTTTGGGGATTCTCCGCCCCCTGCCTGCCAATAGTGAGAAGATGTGTGAGATGATTGGCATGCTCCGCTCCCCCTGGATGCTCCCCCCAGTCAGAAATCCAGAGGAGGCGGGGGCTGAAATCAGCAACAAGACGTCTGGCCCCAAGGGACTCCCAACATTGTGAGAGACGGCCCTGGGTAGCCCAAAGTGGCCCTTCAAGATGGCGCAAGAGAGCCTAAATTGGACCAAGATGGTCTCTGACATGCCTCCAAGAGCCTCCCGGACGACCCCAAGGGGTCTCCAGGCGGCCACGGAGCCTTCCAAGGATGCCCCCGAGGGACCAGCATACCTAGAACACCCCAGGTTATCAATTACTGATGACCTGTCGCATTCTCGCTTCTGGTGACCTTCCGCTGCCGCATGGCACCCTCAAGGTCGCCCAAGAAGACACCCAGGCTAGGCCCAGAAGAGCATGAGGACGTTCCCGAATGCATCCACGGGCACCCGAAGGGCGCCTCAACAGGGCCAACAGAGAACAGAAGCGATTTGCTCATCGACCAACCCTCAATGCATCGAAAGGCACACGCACGGTGCATGAATTCTCTCGGCGCCGCCAGCCCGGGCGGAAAGCTCGAGGCCACTCATTGTCGCCAGACGCGGCAGCATCTTTGGCCAATCGTTGCAGCGAAAGGTGGAAGCCTTCGACAGACCTGGCGCGCACCACCACGTCGGGCACGCGGTTCAAGACGGCGGGCGTCAGGCACTCATGCTCCGACGGGGGTGCTTCAGTCAAGGTCCCCCCCGTATTTTTCGATCCAGGGCCTCCCAGATCGGACACGGAGGGTCTCAGGGAGGAGGAGGAGGAGGAGGACGAGAAGGAGAAGCTCTTCCTCGCTCCTCCTCATGCGCCACCCCCTGCTCCTGTCGATGCTGCCGCTCCTCCTGCTCCTTCTCCTCCTCCTCGTCCTCCTCTTCCTCGCTCTTTCATCCTTGCTCATTATCGCTTCTCCTGCTCCTCCTCCTCCTCGATCCTCGGCCCCCAAGTGGACACAAGAAGTGCCCCAAAAGGGACAACAAACACTTGACGAATTCCGTAGACTGCTATTCTCCTCTGGGGGTCAGCGGGAACGGCGGACGCCTCTTGAATCATTCACCCTTCGACATCTTTTCCGCTTAGCATCAAGCTTGGGCAGGGTAAGAACCCGATGTGCCGTGACGGGGCGTGCAATCGAGCATGGTGTTTCACGCTCCTGCGATATGCTTGCGACGTGCGCCATCGCTGGAGCACGGGCCGGTCACGCACTTCCATCGACATCCGTGGACCAGCACATCTTCCAAATCATTGCTGGCCCTGTCACCCTCAAAGGGGTGGCACGCGTGTTCGTTCCAGTTTGCGCAATCTGGTATAACAAACAAAAAAACATGAAGCCTTCATAGACAAGCGCATTTCACTACTCGCAACGTAACTGCTTGCAAATGGCCTGGATCCGCCGCAGGGGATTTACGATACATTACGGTTTTTTGTTTCTGACGTTTGCCAGTCAGCACTTTGCGAGTAGTGGAACGCGCTCGGTGACTTCAAGTGAGCCTCGACCTTGTACGCAATCACATTGCTGATCTCCTAATGCATCCCGCATCGAGTTATCGTCCAGCATGCTCGGATTGCCAACCACCTACGGCGAAATATGGAAAATTCTATTGCAACGCGCTGTGATCTGAAAGCTGTAAGTGTCCATCGTTTTGTCGCTACCCCTTTTTGCAAGAAGTGCCATTACTATCCGCATTGCATTCTGAAGAGATCCTGGCACACGCCACAACCCACGCCGAATCATCCATGCTGCAAGTTGCCAGCGAAGACTGGAACACCGCTCACAGGTCGCGGAGAGAGGTGCCGAGCGAGCACCAACAAGTTGAGGCCGGGCATGAAATCTGCCTGTGCTCCTGGTCAACTTCCCTCCCCTTCGCCCTCCTCCTCCTCCTCCTTTTCCTCCTCCTCCTCCTCCTCCTCCTCCTCCTGCTCCTCCTCTTCCTCCCTCTCCTCCTCCCTCTCCTCATCATCCTCCCCTTCCCGTGCCGATACAACCCCTCTCCGCACTCTTCCGGCGAGGGCGAGGGCAAGGGCGCGTCGCCGACGAGGCCGGGCCTCAGTTTTGGCACCTTCTGGCAGCAAAATCTCACAGACCAGTCGGGGCGCGCGCCACTGGGGCGCATGGCACTTTTCTTGGACGGGGACCTGGCACGCGCACAGAGCGAAGCTGCTCAAGAGCGAGTCGGCACCAGGGCGCAAGCATGGGAGGGGGGAGACGAGGAGGGCAGGAGGGGAGGAGGAGGAAGACGAGGAGGGGGAGGGGGAGGAGGAGGAGGGGGAGGAGGAGGAGGAGGACGAGGAGGAGGAAGAGGAGGAGGAGGGGGAGGAGGAGGAGGACGAGGAGGAGGAGGAGAAGGAGGACAGGGTGGGGGGGAGGAGGGGGAGGAAGGGAGGGAAGGGGGAGGAGGGAGAGCATGGGAGGAGGAAGCCCAGGGAAGGGGCTGCGGAGGGCGCCCACAGGGCGGGATGAACTTGTCGGAGTGCCCTGTGCGGGGTGTGGGGAACTCACCCGGACAGGAAAAGGTGGAGCAGGGGAATGGGCAGGATACCTTTGCCGTTCGCGGGGGCTCGCCAGGAGCTCGCGTG